CCCCCCCCCCTTCGCCCCCCCCCCCCCCCCCAGTTCTTATCGATTATTTCTCCGGAGATGGACTGCAGACGAAACATCCGGACTTCCTTTGTCCATATGTAGGAGTTGTTGTACACATAGAGGAACCTCTCCACTTGTAACAGATCAGATGGACTCCTATCCTGATCGACATGCCCATACTTTTGATAAGCTGCGAAGCGATCGTCATGCGATGCACCGTTTTCTATTTTTGTAGCGATCAGGTTGTTCTTTGTCAAGATATCTTTTCTTTGCCCTCATATTATTTAAATTGAATGACGTAATGGCTACCTTAAGTACCTCGCAATTGTGATGGATTTAGTTTAAACAGCCTTCCCATAACCATGGTTGTGTAGTGGAGTGGTTATCACTTCAGATTGTATGCCTCCCACTTTCCACCACCACCTACACCTACCTCTTGCTATAATACTAATTTCAACCCAAGTTGACTGTACAAATCACCTTCTGATAACCCCGTCGAGCCCGGGCACAACCTTTGACCTCTAATATTTTTGTTATTTTTCAAACTCACGTTTTTAAATCAGGTGGAGTAGAAAAAATACTGCCTCATTTCCCTTCCCCATAAATAATCAGCACAATTGCCGGGCAAAACCAAGGGAGAGCAAACTACACTAGGCCTGTTCCTGACGCCGTCCCGCTAAGGGGCTGTGGCCAACCGTGGTCCGACGGGCGGATAGATGAGTCTTGGCAGATGCTATTTACGGTATGGTGTGCTGACATCATCTATTCATCTGATGCATCACCATTAATTATGACTCTTAGTCATTAGCCTCGGTTAACCACCTGAGGTCTGGAGTAATTTTATTAGGAATATGTTAATAATGATAGAAAATATGCCGGGTTAACAAGGGATTCTTCTCGAAGGGTCTTAGAGTAAATATAGAGTGAGCACCCCTTTAATGTTTTTAAACACTCGTGGCTAAATTAAATCGACTGTTGTTTTAATACGCATATTTGTTCCGATTCAACTGCAAGAGAGCTAAATGGAAGCAATTTATATATATATATATCCCTGAACGAATCGAGGGTTACACCGGCACACTGCAAATGCTAGTCCTGTCTTTCTAAAAACTGGAAAAATGATTGTATATACACCTAACATCCCCCCCATCAACTTACTCACAGACGGGAACTCCTCCCAGCCTTCGTCACCACAGCAGTACACTCAATCTCCACATCCGATCCCTGAGGCAAAGTCTTTGCCGCAACGCAAGTCCGCGCCTGGGCAATCAGCATCCACGTAACGATACCACAAGAAATCACGAGGGGTAAAAACAAACATACAGGCTTCGGATCCGGAAAAGTGCCGGCATAGATCTCATTGACCGCACCAAAGTCATTCATATCGGCAAGGAAGATGTTGACTTTGACCACATCCTGCAGACTGGATCCGGCGGCTTCCAGGACAGCACTGAGGTTGCGCAGGATTTGTTTCTAGATACTTGTTAGCGACACGCATACCCCATCCGGGAACCGAGTACTGGGGATATACAGTGCGTTCCTGAATAGGCCCCTCGACCATTTTGCCCGTGCTGGGGTTTACGCCGAGCTGGCCAGAGCAGAAGACCAGGTCTCCGACCACCATGGCCTGCGAGAGGAACGGTGGCGGGAGGGGCGCCTTGTCGGTGCGAACGGGAGTGCGGTTGGACTTCCACATTTTGAGCTTGATGAGGGTTTGGAGGCAGATGTTGGGGGAGGAGATTAATATGGAGGTTGCGGGCTTCAATCGACAGATGTTGGTTGTGCGGGGAGAGCCCCACTGGGGGTTTTTGCATGACTAATGTTGATGGCCGGATGTTGGCCCATGGTGAATAGACGATTTATTTATTGATTAATGATTTAAATATCCCAAGGTTATCAGCTATTGTTGGGTGTATTTATATATGGTGGATTTTCGGTCTGGTTCTGATGTGTTGCCGGTGGTTCTGCTACTGTAACCGTCACTCTATGTAGCTTGGAGTACAATGATATAGAAACAACATGGAGATATATCTATATAAAGAGATCATCTTTCTTTCCTATATAATTCAAACGAAATATGCCAAAAAGCTACATAACTTGGATGTTGGCTTGGAGGTTGACGTGCAACAAAGAAACAATCTCAGCCCCAATATACAATAAGCAACCACCATCAGTATGTATAGCGTCATTGTATCCATTTTTGGAACAAACACCCCAGACTCACACAGGATAACTAGGAGAGATGCCCCAGAGTACATAACAGTAGAGTACACTACACAATATTTATCCTGATATTCACTCCTCATGTTCTCCAAGCACTCAGCCCTAATTCATTCACTCACTGCCTGCATAGACAATAACAATAACAACAACAATGATGCTTTATGCAGATTTCTCCCACTTTCCAATCCCATCATATGCCTCTCATCCACCTCACTTCCTAAAATATTATCTTCCATTAGCCACAGACATGGCAGAACCAACCTCCATCGATTGCACACAAGATCCTGCAAAAACTAAGCCCTCATCTTCCCCCAAGGAAACAATGGAAATCGAAGTCCACGGCCTCAAAGCGAAATTTCTTTTCAACCAACACGAAGAGAACCTCATTCCAGCCTTCTACCTTAGAAAAGCCGCCCGATCTCGTACGTTTCTACCCATCCCCCTCCCAAAAGCAGAAGAGAAAGAAGCCGTGAAAGAGGAACTAACACATTGCTCAGCCATAGTGCAACGCACTGCCTGGATCTTCCGCGGAATCAAAGATCCCCGCCACGCCAACCTCGACAGATGGTCCAAGGTAGACATCCGGTTCAGAGGAGTATTCAAAACACTGCAAAAGACCCCAAAGTTCAACAAAGGACTCTACGAAGGGGATCTAGAAACCGACTTGGAGGGATTTGGAGATGCGGCGCGTGCACAGGGTAAAGTTGTCTACGCACTCCTCGAGGACATATCTCAGGCCTTGGATATTAGGCGCGAGGCGAACGACGAACGATATTACTTTCATCTACGGTGGGTGTCTACCTCCTACGAAGGGTATAGAAAGTGGTGTAAAAAGAAATGGATGGCTCGACTAACAAAATCATGACAGACCGCGGCTTTTCAACATGCAACTGGAATACTGGACCGGGCACTACGAGAGGCACAAGGACACGCCTTACACCGCGGGAGTGGTTTGTCTTGAGTTCAAGCCAGGACAGCATTTGATGCGGGCTATTGTGCCCATTTCCACGGTAAGTTAGTATAATATAGTGTTCTATGCTCTATCATCAAAGAGGAGGTCGGAAAGGACAGAAAAAGAAACAGAAGAGAAATTAGGTACCTAACATATTACATCTTTCTAGACCACAGACCATTCCTCGTCGCTCGAATCATCCCTAGCTGGTAAATTCAAGCTCCTCCTATCGCAATTCCTCCTCAACATCCACCGTCTGCACCCACCGGGCGACAAATTCCCAGACCAGGAAGTCTTCCTAATCGGGTTGCATGGATCGCGGCTTCATGTTTTCCGCGGGATATTCCCCGGCCACAAGACGTCCCGGCTCTGGAGCGGACGTCACAACCCAGCATCGTCTGAGGAGTCGGATGCGTCTTCAGTAAAAGAGCCAGCAAAACCAGCGGACCAGGACCGGTTCTACACGAAACATAACATTGAGCGATTCCTGCAGCATGTCGAGTGGCAGCGTTTGTCGACATGCGACAACGAGCCGGGGGAACGGGTGTTTCGGGTGCTGGGAAGCCAGGAATACGACCTGTGGTGTCCGGAGGGGTTCGGGGGTGCGTTGCGAATTCTGGTTGCGCTGGTGATGTATCTGATGAGTGGACGGGCACGGTGTGGGATTCTACAGGATGTGTTTGAGAAATTCCCGTACGATGAGGAAGACGAGCCCGAGTCGGAGGAGGAAGAAAAGGACGGGAAGGCGAAACTCGCTCGGGAGGAGGAGGAAGTTGTGGAGCAGGAACGGATGCTGGAGGAGGAGGCGAGACTGAAGAGAGAGGAGGATCGAGAAAGATGCTGGGCACGAGAGGCGATGCGTGGGTCTGCGGGAGATCGCATTGGGGGATTTCGCAACTTCCGGAAGCCTTGGTGGGATTGGGTGTGGGAGGACAAGAACGATGAGGGACAGGCAAAGGATGATGCGGATGGGATTCTTAAGGGGGGACCTTGATCTTGGTCTTGGTGGGGGGATGAGTACAGGCGGTTTCAGGTGTATTATGAAGTTGAGATTGATCTATCTGAGAGAGGAGATCATGTATCCAGTACATAACATCATTCAGGGCTGCCAATTTGCAAGACATTTTCAGACACGGCTCAAGCTCTCTTCTCGGTCTCGTTGACGCCGTTCAGATTCAAAGACGGTAAACCCGTCGATTCCTTGACCATCTTGTCCTCCTGTGCGGAAATACTCGCTGACGACTCCGATGGCGTAGCATGTGCCTGCTGTAGCGGTACCACCAATGATCATCCTCCGAATGATCCCAGATTTCTTCCTAGGGGGACTATCCGTCGTTGAGGAATTGGCGGATTTATCAGGAGATGCTGAATGTCCTGGGAAGCTTGTATCTGTACCGGTCTCTGATCCAGGCGTGGCTGTCGGCTGGGGTGTATTTTCGTTGAAAAGAGGCTCATTCCTCACACTCGAACGGATCCTTGTTACATCCCAGGGAGAGGAGTTAGCTGTCTTCCCAGCGAGCCTTTTCCTAAAAGCGAGCCTATCTGCAGAACCCGCGTGAAGTTCATATCCTTCCGCAAACATTTTTGGAATATACGGCAGAAGTGCCTCAGGATGTTTCAAGTCAGGGAGGATGTCGATAATGTGGCGAGATTCCTGCGCAGCAAGGCGAGGATCTCTTGAGTCCACCTGGTTAATCTGCCCTTTAACAGGGTCATAGGTGATATAGCGGATAATCTCCCGAGGCGAGACATCTCGAGTTATATCGTTGGTAAGTATTTTGACGTCCATAGATTCATCATGGACAGGTGGTTGGGAGGATACGTCCTGAGAAGTCGTTAACTGGGGTCGATCACTAGTTCGCGACGTTGAGTGTTTAGACTTTGTTCCTACAATTCCTTCGGAAAATTTATATTGTCGAAACCTGCCACGAATACGCTGGGCGTCTATACCACCATCTGTTTCAACAAGTGAATCAAGTTCCCTATCCAAATCACTTTGTGCTTGTTTCTGTGGCTTAGTCTGTCGAGGACTCGGAGAATACCGGGAACGAATATCGCTGGCACTCAAGCGGTTCAAATCATCTGACTGTTCTTTAATGATAGGGGCTCGCGACGGTTGGGTTGAGCTCAAGGCCGAGACGACAGGATTTGCTGGTGTCTGATCGGCCGGCACGACAAAACCCTGGGGCCCAAAGCGTTCCTTAGCAGTATCACTTTCTGCATCGGCGTACCTTTTGCTTTGTCGTTTCTGTGACCTCTCAACTTGGGCATCCTTGATGTCGGAGTCTTTTTCCAAAGCTGGAGAGCTGGTCCTGGACTGCAGTAGGCCATTGGTATTT